AACAGAAACGGAGACATTGGGATGAAGGGGAGAGAGGTTTGTGATGAAAAAAAAAAAAAAAACCACAAATGTTTGGGTCCTTGTTAAGTTTGAGATGACTCTGAGATACCTAAGTACAGATTTAAGATTGGCAGTCGTTTGCTTAATACAGACCTTCTAGTCATCAGTCTTGTTATTTCTAATAATTTATCTGTAGATGCTTTTGAATTTTCATTCAACACAATCATATTCACCAATAATGACAATTGTATTTATTCCTTTCCAATCTGTGTATTTTTTTCACCCAATTGCACTTGCTGAGGCTTCTAGAATAAGCCTGAACATAAGTCTGATAGCCATTATCCTCGCCTTCCTCTAGATATTGATAAAGCTTTTGGCATATCTCCATTAGGTATTATATTTGCTGTTTCTTTGTATAGACCCTTATCAGATTAATGACGTTCCTTTATATTCCTAGTTACGATTTTTCTGTTTTATTGACAAAGTTGTTTATGATAATATAATGAAAGTATTCCTCATTATCTCTTTCAAGTCTGCTTCTGTTATTTGTATTTTTTCTCTTTTTTTTCCTCCTTGGTCAATCTAGTCAGTGGCTTACCAATTTTGCCGATTATTCCAAAGAACTGACTTTGGCAAGTAACTGCTAATGGCATGAGGCTTGTTTCTGGATTGATAAAAATATTCTGAAACTAAATACAGTAGTGATGATGGTTGTATAACTCCATGATGGTGAATATACTAAAAACCACTGAATTATACAAGTTAAAAGGATGAATTTTATGTGTGTGACTAAAACTGTTATTTAAATATGTATCTATCAACAATGTAACGCTATAACCTACATAGGCAGCCATAAGTTTATAGTATTTGCCTACATCAAGTCTTCCAGTAACATTGCTTGCCTTTACTTTTGTACATCATAATGTTCTTTATATCACATAGTTCAAACAAATTATAACCACATCAATAATATTGCTGAGCAGGCTAGGATAATTAATATGTGACTTATTTAAAACCTTTAAATTTTGAATAATAACTGTTAACAGTCTCCAGAGAATACTGCTACATGTTCTATCCATAGACAGCAAACTGATCTAAGGAAAGTAGGTCACAGAACACAATCTGATTCAAACTTGGCACTAGATAACCCAATGTTTCTTTCTTCACATAATCATGATGTCCTAATCAGTCTGTGGTTCTGACCTTTGAGTCAGTGGGTAGTCTATTATTACTTAGTGGCTGCTAAATCCAGAGTCAACATTTTGGAAGCTAAAGAATGCCCATCTTCTTTCAAAATCTTTTGGCTTACTAAAAGCTGAGCCCAGCTAAAAGCTTTTGCCAACATTTAGTTACTTCATGCATATGAACTAAACAAGAGGGATACAATTAGCAGAGAATGAAAAAAATAGAATATATTTATTTTCTAACACATTAAACATTAAAATAGATTAAATGTACTAAATATATTTAAAGATAAATTATACTGTGAAGCATGTTACAGTCTTTAGAAAGTATAGATCAGATTTTCCTGTTTCTCAAAACATGCTATTCTTTCATTTTTTTCCTGTAGATACTAAACCAAAAAATTTTAACTCAAATTAGAAAATAGCAAGTTAAAAAAATTCAAGTGACAGAATATGTGTTCTATTTACAGACTATCAATAAGACATGTTCCTAAAAAATTAGCTATGATTTTAATTTAATAACTTTTGAAAAGCATCTTCCTTGCTTGTAAAAATAATGTTAGGCATAGTTTTCTCCATATAGAGAGCAATTTTTTTTTATATTAGCAATATATAGTGTCCAAGCTATTATTTAATAGATTATCAGTTTTTCTAGGATTTTCTCACCTTTCTACAAAGTTTCTTTCACAACAAATTCTAGAAATAAAAGACATACTAGAAACAAACAAAAAAACCTCTAGAAATGTACCAAGAGACACACTAGAGGAACATATAAGAACCTTTGTTAAGGCCGGGCACCGTGGCTCATGCTTGTAACCCCAGCATTTTGGGAGGTCAAGGCAGGCAGATCACCTGAGGTCTTGAGTTGAGACCAGCCTGGCCAACATGGTAAAACTCCATCTCTACTAAAAATTCAAAAAATAAAAATAAATTAGCCAGTGTGGTGGCACTCGCCTGTAATCCTAGCTACTTGGGAGGCTGAGGCACGAGAATTGTTTGAATCCAGAAGGTGGAGGTTGCAGTGGACCAAGATCGTGCCACTGCACTCCAGCCTGGGTGACAGAGTGAGACTCTGTCAAAAACAACGACAACAACAACAACAACAGACACCTTTGTTAAAAAAGGTGATTTGAGGTCTTGAGAATTCATTTAATGCTAAACTAGTATAATTGCATGTTTACTGAAGAATAGATAGCTTTCCTGTAATGATTCATTTGATATAGATATAAATGCCTCTTTGGAAAACTAGATACACACCTCTAAAATGGTCCCCTAAGACTACATGGTTCTTAGCAATTTAACACTCTCTGTCCATGAGAATGAAAAAAATTAAGCACAAATGACTTGATTTATAGATGCACATCCACAAATGGAAACCAAAATGGCAAATGCAATTTTAGATTCAGTAATCCAACTCCTTTAAATGACCTTTCTGTAAGAGGTTAAAATACTGTGAGAAAATACATGTGAGACGTAGCTTATTAAATATTAATTCTTGAACCTTACAGTATCTGTACCTTCATGCATTCAATGATACATTAAAAAACTTTAAAATAATACCAGAAGGAAATCCATGTGACATATAACAGACAAAGGGTTTATATCTGTTTTATAAAGATTTACTATACATTAGTAAGGAATTATAAACAAATCCAATAGTTTCATTGGGTTTTGTATATAAATGGACAATTGATCAAAGAAATACAAATACATAATACATGAAATTGTGCTAAACTTCAATCAACTAAGAAACAGAAATTAAAATATTTTTTATGATCAGATTAGAAAAATTAAAAATACTGAAAACAACTGTTGAATATATGCTGGGTCTGAGGAAATGAACTCTATTATATTGTTGGTAGATATATAAATTTATACAAATTTTTGTAGGATAATTTAGTTTTTCCTGTTCAAATCTGAAAAGTATACATTCTGTGACCTACAAATCTCACTTCTAAGAATCTGTCCTGTAGGCACAGTTACATGATAATGTAAAAGTAAAATAGAGGATATTCATTACAGCATTATTAGTAACTGCAAAATATTAGGAGCAACTTAAATATCTACTGATAAGTGATTGTGAAATGAATTAAGGTACAGACATAAACTGGAACACTATGGTAGCTATTAGATAGGGTTTCTGACATACTGGCAATGTTCTTAATCTGGGTAATGGATGTGTGGATTCACTATATGGCTACATATGTAATTGTACATATGTTTTTACATGCTTCTCAATTTTCACAAAAAATTAGAAAAGAATAAGGTGAAGTCTATATATATACTAATCAAATAAGATGTATGTGATATGAATAAAACACAGTAGAAGATCATTACACATGGCAAATCCCAATTTTATGAGAAAAAACATCCTGTGTATGCATATATATGAACACATAGCTGTGCTTACATGGCATATAAAAAACTAGGGGGAATATGTAGAAAACCTCTGGAAAATGGGATTATAAGGATGTTTATAAGAGGAATAGACGGTAGTATTGGAGAGATTTATACTTTTTATAAAACATGTTTTTAATCATATATATGAGACTAAAGAAGATACATATACATATTTATATATAAATATGCATATATAACTTGTGTGTGTATATTTCAATTGACCAAAGAAAAGCCTGCCACTTAAGCAAGCAAAATAAATTTAAAGAGACTAAATTTTAACACTTACCTAGCAATAGAAACTCAGCTATGCAGTTCATTGAAAATAAGTAGGTGCTTATTGAGCACATAGTAATGAATAGTCTGATGTATTTAGTGAAGTACAGTTTACAGGGATGTTTAAGACACTGTGGTTATATCTTACCTATGTTTCTTACATCACAGTTAGAGAAATAAAACTTTTATCAACAGCAGTAAATCCATTTCTTATATTATATTTTAGATAATAAATCTGAATACAACAAAAAATCATAATACATTGAAAATTTTCCCCAAATAATAATATAAGCAGAAACTTGTTCAGTGCTAATTAAGTTCCAGGACTGACTTTAAATGCATTATAGGTATTAACATATTATGACCAATTATTGTAATCATTTCTGTTTTACAGATGAAGAAAGTGAGACACAGGTTAAGTAACTTGACAAAGGTCACACAGCTTGTAAGTGGTGGGGTCAAGATTCACTTAGGCACTCTGATTCTAATATTTCCACCATGCCTTATTGTTTCTCAAAGAACTCCAACTAAAACCTAATATTAATTATTAAATGATGTTATAACATGAAAATATATTTTGTTTTTAACCTTCAAAAGACACATAAAAACATATTTGAAAAATACAGAACACTGTAAAATGTAAAATATGTTTATTGTAAAACTTTAGTTATTGCTTCCCTTTCCATAACACAACCATTTTTATGCTTTGATACTACAGTGGATTACACTGAATGCTATACCTGTCAAAACAAAGGTCTTTTTTTGAAGGAAATAGTACATAAGTTTGAGAAACTGATCATAATTAACTGTTTTTTGTTTACTTAAGTAGACTAATATGAACTGAGCCTACAGTAATGTTTATACATTCCAATGCAAAAGAACTGCGAAGCAAGCAAAGTCTTGAATAATTTGTTAAGACTTATTCTGCATTCATAGATAAAACTTCAAGAGTAAATGAGACTATGCAATCTTTTTTTCCAGTAAAGTTAAAATTCAGTTTAGATGATGAAGGACATTTTTTTAAATTATAGAGAATAATAACAACATTGTGTATAAGAAAGTATTAGAATAAATGTCATAAGTTATATGAAATATATAAAGAACAGTTCAGAGATAGAAACTGTCGGGATATGAAATACTTACAGGAGTTTTATGCCTAATATGGAACTGAACTTGGACCTACAAGAGAGCGAAAGAATTGAGGAGTCATTTACTTTTTAAGAAAAAAAAGCATATAATTATAATATATTTTACCTACACTCTTAGGACTGCTGAAAAATTACTATTGTTATTGAAGTATATTTTGAAAAAATAGCTTAACTATTCAGCAGGAAGTTCTTTTTAAGCTAATCATGTTATAAAGTTTGAAAAAGCTGTATTTTTCTTTAATTCAAGCCAATTAAATAACAAGAATCCCTTTTTTTGGAATTTTTAATGCACTATTTACCCAGCACTGTTTCTCTAAATTTAGTTATACTTACTTGTCCAAGCAAATGTAAAGATCAGTTGATTTCTAGTTATTATACATGCGTTTTATGAATAAGAAGTAAAGAAGTTATCGACTAATCAAAGTTAATCTAGTAACTTCCAGAACTTCTAACTTGCATTTCAAAGCTTCACCATACTGAGAATATTATGGCAAGGGAATATGAAAGTGGAAACTCTAAGAATCAGGATCCTTAAATGAATAGTGGGATGTAGAAAAGAGAGAGGAGACTACTGTGAGTTGCATCTTCCAACTCCCACAAATACAAATGTTTATACCAGGAAAACTCATGTGAATAAAATGCTTTCTGCTGTCAGAGGGAAAAAGGAAGTTGCATAAGAATTGATTATTAAGGAAAGTTTCAAGGCAGAAGCAAATTAAATGATATAATGGCTCAGAAGTGGTTTAAGAATATTTTATTTTTAAAAAATGGTAAAGAAACTAATTTTATTATCCTTAATAAACTCCCTAGGCTTTATCTATGTCTACCCAGAACTATAAATACTTAAGTTTGTAGAGATTGTCAAAAGATCTCCCACTCTTCCCACCACCTAAAGGAGAAAGAGTAGGTGAATGTCACTCATACTGAGGGGAGGAGAGGGCAGGTCGGGGGTGGTAGGTAGGTATTAGTGCCAAGGGACTGAGAACTTGTCTCGAAATAAATGCCTGGAAGAAATCCAAATTTTCAGTCATCAATATTCAGTCCCTTTGCTACACAAGCAAAAAGGAATAAAATACACAAGAAAAGCAGACAAATTAAAAGAGAATCTATCAGAGACCCACCAAAAATGGTTTCTTTTTAAAGTCAGTTGAAGAAGTCAAGATCAGTTCATTACATATCCAATTATCCTTCTGATGATCTCAGGCTACAGCAAAAGCAATAGAGAGCAATAACCTTAAATGCTCATATAGGAAGTGGAGGAAAATATTGTTTATTAAGGTTGTTCATATTTGGGTTCCTCAGGAAACTGAATTAATACTGAAATTTGAATGCACTGGAGCATGAACGCAAATGCAAACTGCATACTAAAAATTTCAGCTTCAACTAGCTAGAGCACTCAAAGCAGCCACTGGGATTTTCTGCATGTGGATTTTTCAATCAGGCTTTATTATTTTAGACTGCTCGATTTTTTTTGAAGGATGGAAATAATGTGTTATTTGTTATCTGCATCAACAGTATCAGTAACAATTAAAAGGACTGTTTCCTTGAACTCAGAGAGTGTTTTAAGTTAGATATATTTTTTGTCTTCCTTTCCTTTTGAAATCTCCTCCTTCCCAGATGCGAACATCTTCCTGATTCTCATGCTCTTCTCTTAATTTTACAGATTAAAGTGTGAAAAAGACAGTCTGTAGTCTACAATGGGGGATGGAAAATATTATTGATCAAAATTAGTGAATAAAATATTAAATAATATATGATGGGTGAGGCTTTAAAAACTGGTGAAGAATATGACACAAATCACAAAAGTCTGGACACCAGGAAGCCAGTGCATTGTCCAGTTTTGTTCCCTTGTACAGATGACCCTTTCTGAGACTCAGTTTTGTCATTTCAGGGTGGTTGTGAGTAACTAGATGAGATTATATCTTGAAAAAATACAGAACTATATACAAAAGGCTGATGCTGACTCTGTATTCTAATTTATTACTCATTAGTTAGCATGCAAAACAGTTTCTTATGAAGAACATTAGACAATCTGAATGGAAACTTCTCTGGCCCTTATTTTCTTTATCTAAATAAGGAATAATGCCACATATGATTTTTTTTTAGTACAATGTTACTGGTAGAGGCCAGTTATTTGCAGCAAGCAGCAAGTTTGCAGGGATTTTTCTGGGAATTTCAGATTCAGTATCTGTCTTAGTTAAGATTAGGTTTTGCAGCAAGTAACAGAAAACCCTCTCAAATAATAAAGAACATGGAGGTTTACTTTTGTCTCAAAGGGATGTCTAGGAAGTGGTTCATGGTAGGCATGATACTCCATGTTGTCAGGCACTCGGACTCCATTCATCTTGATATTCTTTCCTGAAGGCTTCAACCTCGCAGTCTCAACATGGCAGCATCACATTCCAGAGGAGCAGAACAGGGAAAGGGTCAGAAGACAGGGGAACACACCTCGCTGTCTCCTGCTATTGGCTGTGCCTGGCTACAAGCTAGACATGCTGTGCCCATTGCAAATGGCCACAAATCTAAGGCCCTAACACTATGAGAACAGCCACTGGGAAATAACTAGCAGCTTTTACCATTTGTCATTTAATTATTTTAAGGTTAAAAACTTTTTCTTTTTGAATGTCTGAAAGAGAATGGCATGAGAAATATGTTGGAAAAGTTAAAGCTGCTTTGTGACTGTTTATCATTGTCTTTTTAATTTTGAAAAAGTAAATGCCAAGACTTCCAGTTTCCAATTTCATATGTAAGGAGCTGGGAAGTTGCCACTCTGTTCTAACAAGTAAGAGCTGAGCAAACTGAAAAATCAACAACTCTTCTTGGGTCCATAAGAGAAGTGAGGTCACAGGGCAAACTACTGCCTCCAAAATTAGCAAGATGGACAGGCAGATACAGAGAATCACAATATACTGGAGCAGAAATGTCCATGGGAGCCACTCCTGGGGTAGGAAAACCTAAACAGTAATGGATGAACTGCTGGAGGCCACGTGTAGACAGGTCTGAGAGATAAAAACTCTGGAAGACCTAGTCATAAGGGGACCGACCACCATGCTTTTCTAAGTTTTACCATCAGCAGCATGACCAGATTATCAAACTAACTACCGTAGAAAATTACACTGTGCTTCTGGAAGTAGGAGGGGAAAAAAACATCATTTTGATATATGCCAGAGTGCTCTGTTCTTAACAAGGTCTGTTCTTAAAAAAACTGTTTAACCAGAGCCTAACCTGTTGGGGTTTTATCAGAGCCTAACTAACCTAAGGGAATTGAAATAACCAATTCTATCTGTCCTATTCCACTGAGAAAGTGAAGGACTAAGAAACAATTGTGATGTTCAGAGTGTAGAGGAATAGGCTCGCTAAATGATGGAGATCTAATCACAGGACTATAGAAGGTTTCCCTCTCCCAATACCTTATCATCATATTAGTAAAGGCCTATTTACAGCAGTTCCTTTTACCCAGTATATCATGTTCAGCTATCAAGAAAAAATTACAAGGCATACTGTTTCAGCCCATTCTGTATTGCTATAACAGAATACCTGAGACTAGATAATTTACAATGAATAGGTACTTATTCAGCTCACGGTGTTAGGGGCTGGGAAGTCCAAGATTGATGGGCCAAATAAGACAAAGGCCTTCTTGCTGTATCCGCCCATGGAAGAATGGCAGAAATGCAAAAGAGCATGCAGGAGTGGGAAGGGGGCCCACCTCATCCTTTTATCAGAAACCCACTCCTGCAGTAACAGCATTAATTCACTCATGAGGGCAGAGCCCTCATAACCTAATCACTTCATAAAGATCCCATCTCTCAACACTGCTGCAGTGGGGATTATTTTTGTTTTAAAGCACCTGACACTGGGTGCTTTAAAAGGAAAAGAGGTTGATTTGGCTCATGGTTCTGTAGGCTAAGAAGTTTAAGGGCTTGGCCCTGGCTCTGGTGAGGGCTTTCATGCTGTATCACAACATGGCAGAGAAGGCCAAAGGAGAAATGAACATGTACAAAAAGAAGAAACCTGAGGGGCGTCCTGGCTTTATAATGACCCACTCTCTCAGGAACTAACTCCATTCCCATGAGAACTCACGACCATGAGAGCAGCATCATGTCATTTCTGAGGAATCCATCTCCATAACCTAACTACCTCCCACTAAGCCCTAATTTCCAACATTATTACACTTGGGGTCAAATTTCAACATAAGTTTTGGTGGGAACTAACAAATCATATCTAAGTTATAGCAAGGATTAAGTTTCCAACACACGAACCTTGAGGAACACATTCAAAGCATAGCATATACTAAAAGGCTAAAGCAAAGTTTGAAGAGACAGCAAACATCAGAGCTTGGATGTTGCCACTCTGTTCTAACAAGTAAAAGCCAGACACGGCAGGGATGTTAGAATTATCAGACAAATAATTTAAAACAACTGTGATTCACACCAGAGCCTGTTGGCGGGGGTTGGGGGTTAGGGGAGGGATAGCATTAGGAGAAACACCTAATGTAGATGACCGGTTGATGAGTACAGCAAACCACCATTGTATGTACCTGTACATTCTGCACATGTATCCCAGAACTTAAAGCATAATAGAAAAAGAAAAAAGAAAAAAATCCTGTGACTAAGATGCTAAGGGTTCTAAGGGATAAATTACACATGCAAGAGCAGATGGGCAATGTAACCAGAGAGATGGAAATTCAAAGAAATAGCCAAAAGGAAATGCTAGGATAAAAAATACTTTAAGAGAAATTAAGAATACCTTTGATAAGTTTATTAGTAGACTGGACATGGCTGAGGCAAGAATCTCTGAACCTGAGGATGTATCAAGATAAATCTCCAAAACTAGAAAGAAAGAACAGACTGAAAAAAAAAATTAAAGCAAAATGGAATATCTAAGAGCTGTGCAACAATTAAAAAGAGAGAAGATACGTATAATAAAAATACAAGAAGAAGAAAGAAGAGACAAAACTGCTATATACTGAATGTTGATATCTCCCCGAAATTCATATGTTGAAAGCTAATTGCCAGTGTGATGGTATATGGA